GAGATGGACGTATGTGTGGGGAGGCTTACATATGTGTATGCAGATGCATGTATGTGTACACGGTGTGGATATGTGTAGAGACCAGAGGACAGCTCTGCTATTATTTTGCAGATGCCATCCGTCTTTAATTCTTTCCCTTTCTCTCTCTCTCTCTCTCTCTCTCTCTCTCTCTCTCTTGAGAAAGTGTTTCTCACTGGCCTGGAACTCACTGAGTAGGCTGGCCAGCCACTAAGTCCCAGGAGCCTGTCCTCCCCTGCCTCCCTAGCGCCCTGGCATTCCAAGGAGAGCTGGCTTACCTGGCCCTTTTAGTATGGGCTCTAGGGATTGAACTCAGGTCTGGTGCTTGCAGTAAGCACTTTGTTCATTGTGCTGTCTCCCCAGACCTGGTGGTACTTTCTATAGGAAGAGAGATGCGGGTGTCACAGGAGTCATTTGGGGGAGAGGAAACAGTCCTGGCTGGAAGATGGGGTGGCTCTCTGCAATAATTACAGAGTCTCATGGGAGACAAAAAACTCTAAGCAGAGACACGAGCAACTGAGGGAAGAGGTGGAATTCACAGGCAACTTGCAGTAAGTTCTTCTGAGACAGGGAACTGGATGGCCCTCTCCTGAGACAGGGAACTGGATGGCCCTCTCCTGGGACAGGGAACCGGATGGCCCTCTCCTGAGACAGGGAACCGGATGGCCCTCTCCTGGTCTGTCCCCTGAATGTCCAGCGGAGTCAGTGGTTTGCAGAACTGCTCCTGTTGACATTGCAAGTGTGTGCACATTGTGGAGCCAAGGGCTCTGAGGACTGAGGTATGTATGACACATTTATGGAGCTTCTGTTTGTTTTTGTAATGAAATCACACCAATCTGGTCTTCTTTTGAAAAGAGTAAGCAGTGCCAGGCTATGATAGAAATTATCCTGACTTGTGGGCTCAGGTTCAAAGTGTGTGTTCCTCACTTGAGGTGGCCTACACAGGCCATGCTATCCCCATTTTATAGATTTGGCAACTGAGGCATGGAAGAGAAGGTAATCGACAAAGTCATAAAACATAGGGATGCATACCGTCTAGCAGAGATGTATGTTTTTGATTTCTAGGATAAACTGAGTTTAGGGAGATAGGAGTACCATCCTCCCCCACTGTCTGGGGAACCAATCCCCAGATGTTTCTTCTTTTCACTGCAGCATGGCTTGGGGACTTTTCTGGCCCATTGCCATTTTAACAGAAACTTCATTGTGTGTGTGTGTGTGTGTGTGTGTGTGTGTGTGTATGTGTATGTGTGTGTGTGTGTACGTACATATGGGTATAGCCGTGCCATTGCTTAGGAACTGTTTGTATTATTTTGATAGGGCTTCTCACTGGGCTGGAGATGGCCCTTTAGGCTAGACTGGCCATTCAGAAAATCCCAGGACTTCCTGCCTCTGCCTTCTGAGTATGGGAATTACAAGTACATTCCGCTCAGCCTACAGAGTGGATTTTTTTTCCCAACTACACATCTGATAGAGGGTTAATATCCAAAATACATAAAGAACTCAAGAAAGTAGACATCAAGAAAACAAATAACCCAATTAAATGATGAGGTGCAGGTCTAAACAGAATTCTCAAAAGAGGAACTCAAGTGGCTAAGAAACACTTAAAGAAATATTCAATATCCTTAGCCATCAGAGAAATGCAAATCAAAACTACTTCAAGATTTCATCTTATACCTGTCAGAATGGGTAAGAACAATAAAACAAGTGAGGGCCCATGCTGCAGAGGATGTGGAGTAAGGGGAATACTCATCCATTGCTGGTGGGAGTGCCAGCTTGTTCTGTTCTCTTTGAAGCCTGTTCTTTTCTAATGAGAGACAGAAAGGGAGTTGATCCAGAGGGGAGGGATGGTAGGGAGAAACTGGGAGGAATAGGAGGAGGAGAAGCTATGGTCAAGAGATCACGATAGATTATGTGAGAAAAAAAATTAAATAAAAGGTGGGGGAGACAAAAACTAGTCTGTGCTACTGTAGACAGAGACTGTGCTTTCATTTCCCGGCCCTCAGACCCAAATAATTGCACAGAAACTGTATTAATTACAACACTGTTTGCCAATGACCAAGGCATATTCTTGGCTAGCTCTTACATCTTAAATTAACCCATTTCTATAAATCTATGTATTGTTACGAGGCTGTGGCTTACCTGTAATATTCTGGTGTCTTTTTCCTCTGGCAGCTACATGGCATCTCTTTGATTCCTCCTACTCTCTCTATATATCTCTGTTCAGATTTCCCACCTGGCTTTACTCTGCTAAGCCATTGGCCGAAACAGCTTTATTCATCAACCAATAAAAACAACACATATACAGCAGGACATCACACCACTGTGCCTCTTGGAAACCAACTCAGGTTTTCTTGCTTACACCTCAGATGTTTTCCCAGTTGGGCTATCTTCCCAGCCCCAGATACTTAAACTATCGTCTCTGATAGTATTGGAATTTTTTGCACCCATTGTGATTCATGATCCTCACAGATGAGAATATTTGTGGCTTAGAGATGTTAGTTTACCCAGGATTACCCAGATAAGCCAAGGTAGAAGAATTTCTGCGAGTTCAAAGCCAATCTGGATGATGCAGTGAATGCCAGACTAGCCAGGGCTATCTAGAAAAAGATGTCCTAAAAAAAAAAATCTCTTAAAAAATGAAACACACAAAATCAAAAGTTGAAATGAAGGTGTATTTAGGATGTTTTTGATAGAAGAATACTTGTTTTTTGTTGTTGTTGTTGATGTTTTAGTAAGTATTAATTGGGGAATTGTAACATCACCATTGAGACCTATTCTTTATTTAATATAAGCCTTGTGGGTGCCAAACAGTGTAGATCAGTGGTTCTCAACCCTTCTAACACCGACCCTATAACATAGGTCTTCATGCTGTGGTGATCCCCAACCATAAAATTATTTTCATTGCTAGTTCATAACTGTAATTTTACTACTGTTATGAAATGTAATGTAAATATCTGTGTTTTTGGATGGTCTTAGGTGACCCTTATGAATGAGTTGTTCGACTCCAAAGCGGTAGACACCCTTAGGTTGAGGACCACTGGTGTGGATTTGTTTGTTCATTGGAGAGTGAAGCTAGAGCAAGTGGCCACTGTGGGAAATCCTGCTGGGTCGCAGGGGTCTAGCTAGAGGCTCAGCAAGCGATAAATCAACTCTTCATACTTTTGCCTTTACTATTAAATGCTCATTTAGTCCTGTTGACCTGGTGGCATATTGGATCTTAGAGGAGGGGTGGAGCCCTCCTCTAACTCTGCACCCTTGACTCCCAGGTGCTACTGTGTTCTCATCCCTATCCCCACAGAGTGGTTTATTTTTTGGGGGGATGGGGCAGTGTTTTGTACCCCCCAGTGTGGAGGCCGCAAAAAGGTGGGGAATTGCTGCATAATTGAACTGCCTTCAGGGTTAAGCACTAAAACATACTCAAAAGATGCAGTAATCCAGGAGTGCTCAGAATAATAGCATTGTTTATTGGAAACCAGGACTCTGGGCACTTAAATTCCTGTGTGTGTGTGCGTGCATGTGTGTGCGTGTGTGTGTGTGTGCACTTGTGCACAGGTGAAAGCCCGAGCAGTCTTAGTGTTATTCCTCAGGTGCTGTACCACTATTTTGTAGACAAGGTTGCACACTGGCTTTGGCACTCACTGATTATCCACATTAGTTGGCTGGCTGGGGAGTCCCAGGGCTCACCCCCCCCCCCCGCTCCCCAACAGTGGGATTACAAGTGCTCACCCACCTGGCTTTTTGTTAAAGTGTATATCCAGGGGGTGAAATTAGCTCCCAGGCACTCTACCGGCTGAGCCATTGCTTCAGTCCTAGAACTGCTTGTTTTTCCTCTGACTTGCTATCCACATATTTTCCCCTCTATCATGTTTGTCTTAGCTAAGGTTTCTGTTACTGTGAAGAGATACTATGACCACGGCAACTTTTATAAAGGAAAAACATTTCATTGGGGTGGCTTACAGTTTCAGAGGTTTAGTCCATTATCAACATGGTGATGTGCAAGACAGAAATGGTGCTGGATAGGTAGCTGAGAGTTTAACATCTTACACAGGCAACAGGAAGTGAACTGCCTCACTGGACATGGCTTAAGCATATATGAGATCTCAAAGCCCGCCTCCACAGTGACACACTTCCTGAAATAAGACCACACCTACTCCAACAAGGCCACACCTCCTAATGATGCCACTCTCTTTGGAGGCCATTTTCTTTCAGACCACCACAGTGTTCCATGAGCCTCACAGAAGATGAGAATATTTCTCATTTAGAGATGTTAGCTTGCCCAGGATCATCCAGGTGGGAATGGCAGCATTAGGACCCATGCCTATCCATGCCTAGGTGTAGCTTCAGTCAGGGCGTCATACTGCCTTTTACTGCCTCTGGGCCAGGCCAAAACAAACAGACAGACAGACAGACAGACAAAAATCTGTATCTTTCCTTTACCTGATACAAGTCCTAATCAGGGCTGGTGACAGTGGTGCTTAAGGTGATACCTTATTCTGCTACAGGTGGGCAGAATAAGGGCTCTAAAGCAAGCCTGAGCTATTGGGGGAGGGAGCTTTTGGGCCAGCTAGAAACCCCCTTTTCATGCTGATCTCGTTACTTTGCTAACCAGCACATGCTGGCATATGCTGTGTTCTGTGTGAGGGTGGTGGCCATCCTACTCAGCCTCCTCCACACTTTTGAGCCTACTTTTATTATTATTCCCATTTTACAGAAGGGAGACTGAGGCTCCCAGAAGCTGTCTCAGAGCTACAAGTCCTGCTGGGAGCTAGTAGGCCTGGGATTTCACCCCACATCTGCCCTGTGTCATGACGTTCCCCAGCATGGGACTGCTTCCTCTTCCTTTTGTGTCTTCTCTGAGTCTGTCTCAGGACCCGGGGTGGAATGACCTCTCCCTTCCAGGAATGAGCTGGTGATGCCAACTTCCTCTAGGTACTGCCAGGACCATACTCACAGACCTGCCTGTTGCTCTTTTTCTTTCCTAGTGCGCTGGCCTCTCTCCTGCTGCTTGGTTCTCAGCTTGTTTGCCCACAGTCCTCTACTGAACACAGAAAGGTAAGTCTTGGCCACTCGGAGCCATTGCGTGTCTCTGCCAGAGGGGGCGTGGTCGCCATGGCCACTTCCCTTATCCTTGCTCCAGCTGGAGGTTAGTCCCAGCGTATTCTGAGTAGAAGCCCCCTTTCTGGAATATTCGCAGCCTTCTCATTTTTTCCATAAGTCGGATATGAAGCCGGTGCTCAGAGTCAGTCTCTGATCTGTGAGCAGAGCTGACTTTGCAGCCTGTATCATTAGAGATGAGTAGGAAAGCCCTGCAAAGGCTTGTGGGCAGAGGCCCCGCTCAGGAGAGGGAGCCATGACAGAGCTGGTACCTGTGTAAGCACACCTGCAAGGCCATAGGCAGAGGGAGATCGGAAAAGCAAACGTGTTGTGAGAGCAACCCCCGTGTCTGAGATATGGAGCTGTAGTCACTGATGGAGGGGCCCAGCCTCTACTGCTTAGTGAGGGCTCTGGGGCGGAAGAACATGGTCTTTTGTCCTCCCGTGGTGACTCCTGTTGATGCTTCCCTTTGATTAGTCTAGACCAGTGGTTCTCCACTTGGAGGTTGAACGACCCTTTCACAGGGATTGAATATTAGATATCCTGCATATCGGATATCTACGTTATGATTTATAACTAGCAAAATTAACGTTATGAAGCAGCAACAAAATAATTATATGGTTGGGGCTCACCACAACTTGATGAACTGAATTAAAGGGTTAAAGCATTAGGAAAGTTGAGAACCACTGGTCTAGAGAATTGACAAGAACCATGATTCAGTCCCCAGAGGCCAGCTTTCTAGGCCCACAGGACATGAAGAACTCATTTCCCCTCAAGTTCCACCCACCTCATGTAGAACTTTGCCCTGGGGTCTTAGCCCACGTGGTGTTGCCTGCCCGAGGAGCAGGGGCTCTGTTAGTGTATCCTGAGAAGTAGACACGTGACCCGGTTCTGCTCCCTGGGTCTTGAGAGGAGAGTACTGAAGTGGGCTTGAGCAGATCCGGTCCTTGGCTAGGAGAGGGTTTTCCCAGGAAGTTCTGAAGCAGAAATGGACCGAGAGGAACACGTGCAAAGGGTTCATCTGCCCCCAAGCAGTGTTTGCTGTTCTCATCCAATCTATTTAATTTCTTTCTGATCTGGGGATTACATTCTGTTTATCTGAACCAGATAGAAGTCTCTATAGCATCTTGTTCCCACAGCTCCGTGAATGTGGTTCTCACACACGGCTGTAACTCTGGGGTAGAGCCTGGCCTAGTTAGGTGCTCAATGAGGTACAGATGGAATGACTGGGACCTGACCAAGGTCCAAACATCGTATTGCCAGATTGATTTGGAAATTTATAGCCTCTCACTCTGTTGTCTCATCCCTAGTCATAATTTTAATAAGTAGAAGGCTGTAAAAATTATTATTGTGCTCTCAGTTATTAATGGTTGGTATTATTGGTACTAATGGTTGACTTGCCCTAATGGAGTCCTTTTTGTTCTTATTGATGCCAAAATATGCAATCACAGTTAAAATATTTTATAAATAATCCAACTGTTAGCTGGGCGATGGTGGCGCACGCCTTTAATCCCAGCACTCGGGAGGCAGAGGCAGGTGGATCTCTGTGAGTTCGAGACCAGCCTGGTCTACAGAGCTAGTTCCAGGACAGGCTCCAAAGCCACAGAGAAACCCTGTCTCGAAAAAAACCAAAAAAGTAAAAAAAAAAATAATCCAATTGTTTTTTGCTGTTTGTCTTTCAAGATAACCTGAATTATATATTGAGCCTCAGTATAAAATGTTCCCAAATAAATGTTACCTTCATTTTTCTTTAAAAAAATATTTTATTAAATTTCATTTAATGTGAGTTGAACTGAGTCGAACTGACATCAGAGAGTCTTCACCCAGCAACTGATTGAAACAGATGCTGAGACCCACAGCCAAACATTAGGCAGAACTTGGGGAAGGGGGAAGGATTGTAGGAGCCAGAGGGGTCAAAGGCACCACAAGAAAACCCTCAGAACCCACTATCCTGGACTCATAGGGGCTCACAGAGACCAAACAGATCACCAGGAAGCCAGCATGGACTGACCTCGGCCCTCTTTGTATGTTACAACTGTGTAGCTTGGTATTCTTTTGAGACTCCTAACAGTGAGAGCAGGCGCTGCCTCTGACTCAGTTGCCTGCTTTCAGGACCCTTTACTCCTACCAGATCGCCTCATCCAGTCTTAATAGAAGAGGAGATGCCTAGTCTCACTGTAACTGATATCCATGGGAGGCCAGCCTGCCCTGGATCAAGAGAAACAGAGGAGAAAGAGTTGATGGGGGAGGGGAGGGGAAGAGGGAAGGTGATTGGGGGGGAACTGGGAGGAGAGGAGGGAGGAGAAACTTTGGTTGGGATGTAAAACAAAAACAAAAAAATTCATTTTGTGTGTGTATGTGTGCACATGAGGGCATGTTTGCATGTGTGCGTGTGCATGTGCATGTGTGTGTGTTACACATGCCAAGGGGCACATGTGGAGATCAGAGGACAATTTATGAGAGTCAGCTTTCTCTTTCCACTGTGTTGGTCCTGGGGATTGAACTCAGGTCATCAGCCTTGGTAGAAAAAACCTTTACCTGCTGAGCCATCTTGCCCACCCCCCTCATCTTTCTCAAAGGTTTTCTTTTTACTGATAATGGAAACAGAAAGGTTTATGAGGTGCTTTAGAATGTTGATTTTAGAACACTAAGCTAAACAGTATCATATCTTGGTATGTAGTACTTCCTTGTCAAAATATTATTAAGAGCTTTGCGATTGAAGGCTAGATTTAAACCCGCCTCCTGCCATTTATAGATTTCTTCACTCGGGGGAAAGACATCTCAGAACAGTTGTTGCTCATAATAAACACATGTGTCTTCTTGCCATGCGTCCAAGAAAAGAAGGCACTCGGGCTTCCTTGGGTGGTAGGTTGCTTTTCATTATTTGGTTAGGGCCTTGTGCAACTGTGGCTGTTATCCTGGGGATCCCCAAAAACCTGGCAGGAAAAGCAGGGCTGGCAGTAGTAGCATCCGTCTACTTAGGCCTGCAAGAGGCAGACTAAGGAAATGCTTATTAACAGGGTCTGAAACGCTGTAAAGAGACGAGACTAAGGGAATGCTGGTTAACTGAGCCTGCAACACTGTCTATAAGGAACCAAGACCAAGGATGCTCATTAATGGGGCCTGCATCACTGTCCATAAAGAGTTGTGGAGAATACTTTGTTTTTCTGGACCACGCTTTCTGTCACAATCATTTAACTCTGGCTGGTCCGGAGGCAGGCAGAGGCACTGTGTATATGAATAGTCATGGCTGTGTGCCAGTAAAGCCTTATTTACAAAAGTAGGTGGCGAGCCGGATTTGGCTGGTGGGCCGAAGTTTGCTAACCTCTGCTCCAAATTCAAGATGTAAAGGAAGGAACTAGGTGTCAGGATATAGTCCATTCAGTGGGGTGTTTGAGTTCAATCCCTAGAAGCCATTTAAAATTCTGGAAGTGATGGCACACCTTTGTAATCCCACCATTGGGAGATGGAGACAGGGGGATGCCTGAGGCTCACTGACCAGCCATCATAGCCCACTTGGTGAGTTCCAGATCAGCAAGAGAGCTTGTTTCAAAAAAGAAAAAGTGGTGGATGGTGACTGAGAACAACTCCTGAGGTTTTCCTCTTACCTGCACACACGACATACATGGGACACACATGTCCACATGAATACACAGGAACACATTTTGGAATATGAAGGTGGAAATAGTTTCTTATTGGGACTTGAAAGAACAGAAGGGAATTGGGAGGAAAAAAATCACATAGTTTTTGATTAAAATAAGATTTATAATTGCTATCCAGTTGCTTTCATTACATAAATACATTCATAGCTGACTTATTGTTTTGTGTAAAAATTGCTACTCTTGATTGTTTGCAGAGAATAGCAGACAGAATAAGAAACCCATCTATGAAGCCGGGCGGTGGTGGCGCACGCCTTTAATCCCAGCACTCGGGAGGCAGAGGCAGGCGGATCTCTGTGAGTTCAAGGCTAGCCTGGTCTACAAGAGCTAGTTCCAGGACAGGCTCCAAAACCACAGAGAAACCCTGTCTCGAAAAACCAAAAAAAAAAAAAAACAACCCATCTATGGTCAGTTCTGTAGGGACAGCATTATTAATGTGCACGTGTGATAGGGTAGTGTGTATATGGAAGCCGGCTACTCAAAGGCTCTCTTTTCTTCCTTCTTACTGTGCTGTGTCCAACTTTAGCATATGGAAGTGTTTCCACGACGTAAGTTATTCCAACCAAGAGACATAATTTGTAAATGCTGTCAAGTAAACTATGCACGCCTCAGCGTGCTTGGGTGAGTGGCTACATCTCTTCAGAACTGTCCTATGTAATACTAAAGGCTGGGGGGGACCCGGTGCAGAGTGTAAGTAGCTCTTTCCAGATGTTTCTGTCCAGATGGCCTCCTCTTCTGGCAGGATTAGCAACCCCACAGAGGACCACTCACCCGCTCACCCTCTAGTCTCGGAATTAATTGTTGATACTTGGCAGAGGGTGGTAGTTTTTTTATTTTCTTTAATTTTTAAAGCAGGGCCCAAGGCAAACTCTCTATCCAGGAAAACTGTAAAATAATGTCATTTTATGTTAAATATATTGAATTGTGTATGCATGGGGGACAAGTATGCCTGTGCACTTACTTGTGTGTTACTCTTCATCCACATCATACTCATCCCTATTCTCATCTGCATCCTCCTCATCTACATCATCCCCATCCTCATCATCCTCATCCTCACCCTCATCCCCATCCTCATCTACATCACCCTCATCCCAATCCTCATCCATATCATCCTCATCCACATCATCCTCACCCTCATTCCCATCCTCATCCATATCATCCTTATCCACACCATCCTCATCCTCATCCCCATCCTCCTCCTCCTCCTCATCTTTGAGACTTTGTCTGTCTGTGGCTGTTCTGGCTAAGTTGTCTGGCCACTGGCCCCAGGATCCTACTGTGTCTAACTCCCCATCAGCA